TTCTGAATGATCCCATCTGCAAACGTCATTAGAAATTATTATACAATCTTCGTGTAAACGAATTATTGTAGAAATTACTCAATTCAAGATTTGATGTAAAATTAAAGCACAGATTCTAAAATATCACTGTTATCTGCTCTTTGTAATAGGCATAAAAAAATTAACATATGTATAAGAATACATTTACCTTTGAAATAAGTAAAGAGATAGAATGTCTTCAAAATACGGAGATGTGATTTTGAAATTAGATGATAAAACTAACCAAATTCGAAAAAAAGTTCAAAGTTCTAATTCGCTATTATATTGAACATGTTCTCTTCTGACTATTTCACCTAAATATTTCAAGATTTATAAAAGTGTTTGTTTTTCGATAATTTGTCCATTTGAGCCTAAACGAAAAATATGCATACCTTATAAGAGGAGAAATCATTGTGGTACCACGGCTTACAGGAAATTCCACTGTCGGATAGAGATTTGCAATCTGTGGCTGCAATCCTGCGTTATAAAGTTTTCCAATTGATTCTAAAAATATCTCATTATTATGATCCTCGGTTCGTTCATATAGCGCTACGTTTGTTACTGTAGAGTATAAATAATTGTTCAAAATGTGTTGAAGAATATTCTGAGGAGATATTTCAATCGTCACTGTATCTCTTGGAACTGAACGTATCGTCTTTGCGAATAACACCGGAGACAAGAAGTGATTTGTATAATATTTTGAACATAAAGGTATAGTATTGGAGTACTCATTTGAGGATGTTGTCAGCCACTTTGAGCTGTGAAACTTTTTTTGTGGTAATGTTTGGTTCAAGTATTCTTCAGACTTAGCAACAGCAGGTTTGATGTAACGACTATGAAAAGGTATATAACCACAAAAAATTTCTTTTATAGATATACTATTCGCCTAAAAGAAAGAATAAAATCTAAATATTATAAAAATATTATAAAAAAAATAGAAATACAAATATTATTAATTGCTTGTTTTAATAAAACAATTAAAGAAACTAAATAGAAAAAAGATTATATTGTTTATATTATTGTTTATTAATATATACCTGCAATTTGGTCAGGAATGTTTTTATAGAATTCGTTGGTCCGCTTACAATAAAATTAGAAGAACTATTGTAACAAGCTATATCGATATCCGAAGGACACATAACTTTTAAGGTTTCAAGGTCGAGATTAATTTCAGCCATAGAGCCATTAATTATTTTCGACTCGTGAAGGGCTAAACCGATGAAATATGCCGACAGAATCGTTTCTTTGGCCGATAAACATCCATCGGCATATCCACAGATTAGTTCACCGATGGAGTGACCGATTATAAAATCGGGGACTACACCAATAGATGTTAAAAGATCAACTAATCCAATCTGCGATACACATAAAAGAAATAGCTTTCTATTTGGTTTAAATAAAGATTAGAATTATAAAGTAATTATAAAGTAATTTTTATATTTATATATTTGTATATACATATATACATATATAGTTTAATTTATGAAGGCAAATAAAGAGTTTTTTTCTTACCTGTAGTCCAATAAGACTCAATAAAAAATTTAAAATATTATCAAAAATATTTTTATTATCACTTGTTAAGATATCTGTAAGTGATATGCCGTAAGATCTCAAAACGATACCACATTTCTGGATTGCCTTGGCAAACACTGGAAATTTCATTAGAGCGCGACCTATGAAAATGTTAATAAAATTTCTAAATTTCAATATACAGATATGTACATGCATCCGCGTTTAGATATTTAGATTTTTTTAGTTATCGGTAAGGGTACGTAAAAAACTGTAGCCTCTTCCCATATAGTTGTATTTGTTCTAGGATAAAATTTAATTTTACTTGTTAACTGTAATAAATTAAGTTTTTAATAAATAATAAGCAATATAAATCAAACTTTTATGTATATATTATTATAAGTTTGATAACA